CAATCGTTGGAATTCATCCCGAGGTATGGATACGTGTAGAGGGCGAGGTAATCTTCCTGTCTAAGTGATCGAACGAATTCTTCCGTTGATACAGGCCCCGGATCGATTGAGGTAAGCGTTCTAACGTTTCTACGATTCATTAGAAGCATGGTTCTAGGGTTTATTAAATTTTTGTTTTATATCCGCTGCGCAAACCCTAGAATCGATCTCTTGGGAATAGGATTCGCTCTAGAGATCCCAGGAAACCCAACAGCGTTATCCCAAAGTCACTATATAAAACAAATCTTAGAGAGGTTTGAAAAAGATGGAAATTCTGAGGCCAGAACTCCAATTGATGTTAATTCTCATTTGAAAAAACATCACGGTGAGGGAGTTCAACAATTAGAATATTCCAGAATCATAGGAAGCTTAATGCATCTTATGAATAGCACAAGGTCAGATATTGCTAATACTTTGAATAGGCTTAGCAGATATACGAGCAAACTAAGTTGTGATGATTGGAAGGCCATAATTAGACTCCTTAGATATCTAAGGTATACTGAGAATTATGGACTGCACTATACAAGATATCCAGCAGTATTAGAAGGATATTCTGATGCGAACTTGATCTCAAATTCGAATGAGAATAAATCCACAAGGGGATATATATTCGTTGTTGGTGGAGGTGCTATTTCGTGGAAATCTTCTAAGCAAACATGTATTACAAGATCCACTATGGAATTTGAATTCATAGCTTTAGACCTTGCTGGTGAAGAAGCTGAGTGGCTTCGAAACTTTCTTGAGAATATTCTTATATGGTCTAAACCAGTGTCTGGAAATTGCATACATTGCGATAGTCAGACTGCAATAGGAAGGGCAAAAAGTCATGTTTATAAGGAAAAGTCGCAACACATCCGCAGACGACAACTCTGTTAGAAAATTACTAATAGATGGTGTCATATCTATTGATTTTGTGAGATCAAAAGATAATTTGATTGATCCTCTGACCAAAGGCCTTAACAGAGATCAGGTAGAAATATTATCGAGGGGAATAGGATTAAAGCCCATAGAATGACAAACCACATGATGGCAACCCAACATATCTGGACAAACCACCAGTGTTAGGTTCAACGGGACAACCAAATTGTGAGGGATCGATGGGATCACTCGAGACTGATGTCTCTTCACATTCCTATGATAATAGTGATACAAAGTGGGAAGGTTGAGTTTATACTCTTAAAGATTCTCTTATCTCCTACGAGAGTGGAGTATATTGAGATACTCTCAAAGAGAAATCTCCTACATCAAGTATGAAGTGGGCCGCTTCTATGAGAATGACAAAAGGGCTAGTTCTCTAGAATATTTGATGAAATCTACCAGGTGTTGTCCCAGGACCATAATGGGCGCAACAAATGGACTAACGAGAGAGAGAGAGGGTGCTGCGTAAGTACTGTTGTCTTGGTGTATACAAAAGCTGAATAGTTCAAGACATCGCATTCATTGTTTACAAGTACATCCGATAGTGTTTCACTACGGAAGTTTCAAAGGTAAAACTATCATTCCGGATACAGTAAATTCTCTATGAGTAAATTTTGCATTGTACATCATTTGCATACAATGCATTAGTTGCATGAGATGCATTTAGGTTCACCTAATTCAAGGCCCTATTTTGATTCTTGTGGGGGATTGTTGGATTTGGGTTTATTTGATAGAATCAAAACGGGCCTAGTCCATGAGAAGTCCGGTCCATGGAAAGTTCTAGAAACTTTAAATCTGTAGAATATTGAGAGAATATTCTTGATTGATTTTGAAATTCAAAATGGATTCAAATCTGCAGAAAATCTAACAAATATGATTGAGATAAGATTAAGATAATATTAAAATAAAATCAAATTTGAATTTTGAAAATCAAATTGATTTTATTTTGAGATTCTCCCCTCTACTATAAATAGGGGTCTTGGGTTAGCTCATAAAACACAGAAAAAAAAAACAAGCTTTCTAGAGAAAAAAAAAGAGCATTCACATATTTGCTCATATCTCTCTCAGAGTTCGCTTGGTATTTGGAAAGTTTCTTCCGAATACGCGGTCATTGTATCTTGGTTGTTCACCGTGCTCCAATAGCCTCGAAGCTTTAGAGGTGGCACGAAAATCGAACTTAAGGAAACTGTGCTTCACAGGCCTCGACAATAATCTTTTATTTCAGGTACTTTTCTGGAATTGTTCGAATTGCCGGAGTTCTACCGTCATCAACAACCGCCGTCCCCAACACCTCGATCACCAGTTCAAAACCGGGCTTGGATCTGGTCCATTGGTTTGCGCAACAGAAATGGCGTTCAAAACGATTTTGAACAACCACAGACCAATGTCTTTCGATAAAGAACTTCCAAGAGAGAAAACTAACCTTTGAATCCTTAGATTCACAATCCGATTGCGGTTAGATGATCACAACCAAGGTGTTGAAAGAGCCAACACCTTCTTGAGCAGTCCACACCCTTGGGATGGTTTCCAGCACTTGGAAACTTGCTTGCTAGAGCTTGAAGAGATCAATCTCTTGTATGAGTGTTCAAGAACACTTGGGAGAATTCTCTCTCTCTCTAAAACCTTCCAAAGGTCTGAGAGATCGAGCAATGGAGGTCTAGGCGAGTTCCCACCTTCTTCCCACCAAGAAAAGATGAGAAAAATGCACTTTCGGATTTTTCAGTGTGTTGGTCCGGAGCTGACCAACTCTTGGTCGGATCAAGCACCAGGATTCCGGTCTGCCTGACCAACCAGGTCCGAACCAACACGGACTGATCCGACTGACTGGTCCGGTCCACCGGACCAACTCTTGGTCAGCTTCGGACCAGACCAGTTTTCGGCCCCAGTCCGTTTCTCCCAAGTCCGTCTGGTCCGGCTGACCAACTCTTGGTCAGCTTCGGACCAGACCCGAAACTAGGAAAAATCCGATTTTTCCATTCGATCCATCTCGTTCATACACACCCATCCCATATGTGTGTGACCCTTTAGGCTCCTCTGAAAACGGCAGTAAACCCGAGATCCAATCTCGCTTTACAAATCATAAGCGATATCTAGCAAGACATTATGATTATCCGTATCAGAAAGAGTTAGATGTGATCTAACCGAAAGCCAGAGGTAGCTCCAACGATGATTCTCTTTATCTCATGATATCATAATCGAACTCATAGTTTGATTGCTTTGTTGTATCTCGAGTAGACTGTAAGAGATAGATGACATTCATCTATAGTACGGCCACACATTTCCACAGTCTCACTCCTACGACGGGCCCAATGATATCTCTCTCTTTCAGAGGGACAAAGTTCTATCTTGACTATCTATTATCCAATACATGTTTCGTAATGTACATAAGTCACGCCTTTATAATCATCCGGTTAAAGACGACGTTTGACGCAGTCAAAGTACATTACTCCTCATGTTGGATACAATAGATATCTCAGGTCTGAGGATCCAAAGTGAACCATCATGTTGAGATCAAGTCATGGATTATATCCAATCGATAATTTCACACGAGTCATCCAGTCACTTATTCCAAACAAGTACCCATGATCGTGATCCGTATCCAATACACATGATCATCACTATGATCATCCATCACGCCTCATATTAGTCTTAATTCATCATTGCGCCCACAATGACAAGCAACTAAGGAATTTAGGATTGTTCATAACGAATCATGAATGTCATTATTTATCAAATATGCAAAATAAATAATGAACAAACAATGCATTCATCCAATGAATTCATCATACTACATAGGTTCTCATATCCTACGATCATCATAGAGCATCACAACCATCAATCTGTATAGATCTTTACAACAGGTGGATATGTTCCATTAGATTTTGTAGGTTTGGCTGATCCTTTTGTCAAGATATTAATTTTTTTTCGGTAACCGAATATCATGAACTAAAACTCACACTAATGTCGGAGCCGAGACCAACCATTTGATTTGGAATATACGTCATCTCTCCAAACTTAAGTTCGAATTCGAGATGAGCGTCTTCGTTTCACCGGTTGAACTACCCTGATTAAGATATTTATGTTGACAAGAAAAGTTTTCTGTGACAGGTTTCTCTTGTCACCAATTATGATCTACCCGATAATCGTGATATCGGATTGTTCTACCCGATATTTTTACACTGTTTATGGACTGAATAAGGTTTTTATATAGCACACTCTTATATGCTTTTTATCACATTATTGTTAGAAATTATGAAAGCGCCAAATCAACAGTAAGAATACATGCATGTGACAAGATGGGTAATCAATTGGACATTTAAAGTTTCAGAACTGATCTTATAACTTGTGCTAAAGATTGGAAATTTTTTGGTTCAACCCTTTTGTGTATCTTTCAATGTTATGTGGTTTTGTTCTTACCCATAAATCTATTACCAGACCGTGAGCTATTTTTGATTCATGTACAATGCAAGAAATTTTACCTTTTTTTCTGGTCGTACACAACTAAAAGCCTCCGGTTAAAAATTAAACAAACCAGAGAGCCAAAAATAGAAACCAAAAGAGATGCTATTATGCCTTTCAAGCTCACTATGGACGGGACATATTGCGTGCCATCGTCGAGAGAATCGGGTACCGAGGCGTACAAACCTTCCACAGTTAAGGGATGTCGAAATCTGAATTCCACGGAAACAGAGTCTCCTCTAGATACTTTTCCAGATCCGAATTCGTGTGTTGACACAGTTCCGTAATGTTTATGTACCTGTTTTTCGAAGAATGGGAAAATCTTGTTTTTTTTTTGTAAAAAAGTCAAAGCACGAGCGAGTCCGTGGATCGGCCAAACTAGCTCAACCGATCTCGAGCCCATGATGAGCTGATTCATTGGGCCCATTATTTTTATGGGTTAGAAAATATTAAGGCCGACTTGTGTACAAACGAGCAAAAAACGGATCGGCTCACGGGTCACCACTCGTTTTACACCCCTATTTAATCCATGTATTCAGTATTCTTGACTAGAAAGGCTAGATTTGGAGTAATTAATAAGATTTTTTGCATTAAGTTTCAGCTTCATTCTTCTCGGATTCGGTGTGTCCGAAAATTCTTCGTCCTTGCATCATGTCCATGAGAAACCGAGGTAAACTCAAAGTTACTTTCGATCTTTTGTTAAAGTTCGGCTTGATACGATCCTCATCTATTCCTCAACATCTCATATACGAAATCCTTGTATGGTTAAATGAAATAAATAAAATTTCGACTTAGGAATTTGAGTATTCGTCAATGCTCATGTATAATTTCGTTACAGTTTTAAATATCCATGCTTATATTTGAAAATTTCGTACGTTTCATTATTATTGCTATGGAAAAATTAAAGTTAAATTGGGTACAAATAGTTAGTTCATGATTTTATACGAGAACTTTTATATTTTATTGAGAAATTTCGTTTTATTTTAGTTTTGGTTCAAATTATATTAATTTGGTTCATATACGAGTTCGTTCCCCTTGTTTTCCATATAATAATGACCAAAATACTCATCGGTGTCTATTGGTGCGTCCCAAATCTATTTTGTTAGTTTTACTGCACATGCAATCAAACAAAAGCATTTGTCGGATCTGGATTCGATCAATCATCCTTTCGAGCCAATTAAATTTGTCTTATTAGGAAACTAATGAAAATAATATTTCCTTTTAATTTCCCTACGTTCTACCAATGAAATATTTGATCATGCTACAATGTATTTGGTTTCTCTTATTAGGAAACTAATGAAAATAATTTTTAAGTGTTAAAAATGAGGATAATATTTGACTCACGAGTATAGAATAGTTGTTTGTCGTTGGTGCCACATTTTAAAAATACAATATCATAACTATTTTGGCATTCGTAGAGAAGGAAAATAACAAAGATATATGTTATAAATGTCCAAAAGAGTCAATTTCATATAGTTTGTCTATGAAAGTAAAATTTCATGAAGTTTGTCCAAAAGAGTCAAAAAAATTTTATTTGATTTCTATGTGGATACAAATATAAATGGAATGGTATATTCAAGAAAATTTGTAATAGGTAATAATTTACGTTTTGAGAAAAAATAGAATAAAATATGGGATTGAATTTCTGATTAGATGTTATATTTCTTTATAAAAAAAGTAATAATATATACAATTATTTTCAGAAATAAATCATAACTTTTTTAGAAACAAAATTTTCTAAAATTTGACAAAGATATTATGTTTTATAATTTTAAAAAATAAAATATTTTTAAGTAAAAATAGTTTCAATTTTTTTGTTCTACGGAAATATCGGTCCAATAATCCAAATAATGTCTTTTTTATAGTAGTTATAATATATTCATATTTATTTTCTCCTTGATTACTATTAATATTATAAAAAACTAAAAGTAATATATTACTTTTAAAATTGTCGAATTTATATATATCGTTCCTACGCCTATTTAAATATAATATGACAAATTCAAATAATACGATACCGTTTATTGATTTATTTATTTTTCCATATTTATATCATTTACATGAAAACAATATAAAAGAAAAGCAGAAAAAATGTTCCAAATGTATAAAACATTACTCTCATAATTCAAGAATAATAAATTCTATAGATTTTTCAACAAAAGAATATTCCCAAATTAAATGTATGAGTTGAGAAAACTCTATAAATACCTTCATAACCAAACCTTTTTCTCGAAACGAAAAAACATTTCTTCCTCTCACATTTCAAAACATTACGCATGTCTACATTGACGCTCGATGTAGAGATCGTTGTTGTTGTTGATGATGATGATGAATTACTACCACCGAAACAAATATAGTCTCTAAGGTATACGTATTGTCAAAATATTCAATTAATTTGCTACATAATATTATGTAGTGTTTTTATATTACCAGCTTATCAATTTGTTTTTAATCGAATTCATATAATTTGTGTTTTCAGTTGGATCAATGGTTTACCAAATATAAATTCCCGAACTACATGCCGTATGGAGAGGTTTGATAAAATTTTATTTAATATTAGAAATTCATGTGAATGAAAAATATTATGCGACGATAATATCTAATTCTGTTGTCTTTGTCCTTAACATGGAGAAATGAAGATGGCATAAGTGAAGGGCAGATAAGCCACATGCTTATTTTCTAGATTCGGCAAAACGTAGAAGACGAAGATAAAGAAAATGTATAGTGCAAGTGGTGTATTTGAATAGAGCCTCTAATTTTTTGGGTCCCATTTTTTTTATTTAAAAATGTGTTCTTTTTAAATTTTAAAAAATTGAGTCGTAAATTATAAAAAATAAAATTTTGTAATGTTATCACAAAAATAATTATAACATTAATTTTATATTTTATGATTGAAAAAATATATAATTTTAATAAATCTTAATATATATATATATATATATATATATATATTAAAAATAAAATATGTATATATAGATATATAATATTTGTATGGGGCCTCCGTCAACAATGAGACGTAAGAATAGCATTTAAACATATATTAATGCACGCTTTGTGTGATTATATTTTATTATTGAAAAAATATATAATTTTAATAAATCTAAATATATATATATATATATATATATATATATATATATTAGTGTTTGCACGGGGCCGTCAACAATGAGATGGTTCACAACTATATATCTATGTCTATGTGTCAAAAGTCTTTTTATTATGTACATTAAGAATGTTTTAAAATTATTTTGTTGTATTTCATGTCGAAGTAATATTTTTTAATTTTGTAATTGACGTCAATATTCACCCAATTAAAATACATATATTGGAAATCTATTAGTTTATTCTATTCGAGAAATTCTAACATATGAAATTTAAATAATTTATGTTGCTCTTAAAATAAATTTTAAACGAATTCAATGTTCCGACGAATACTAATTTGAAAATAGAGAATACAATTAAACTTAATATTTCGATATTTACTGTTGACTATTGTCTGATAAAACTTGGTTAACCGAAGTACGAATATAAAAACGATATCAAATCAGTGGAACGACGAGTAGAATATTGAACATGGAACATATAAAGCAGCAAGCTACCGTTAGATCAATTCTTTTGTGGTCATCCCTCCGAGACCAAATACATATCAACTATTACTACCCATTTGCCAGAATTTGTCTTTTAGCAAGTATAAACAATGCAATAGAACAAAATTTTATTATAGTTGCAGCGATTATCATTCGAGAAGAAAAATAAGGCAAAGGTGGTGAAGATGACAACGATAGCTCGTGTTACTGATGGTCTACCTCTGCCAGATGTTGATATGTATAAGTAGAAAGTCAAGGCTTGTTAGGAAAAATGAAAATATGTGAACGTACATACATATACGACTTCGATCTGATCTGATAATATCGTCTTCAACCTATCAAAACACGTATGAAACAATAGAGAACCGGATATGACTTCAAGGCATGACGAACACTTTCCTAAAAGCATTATTCCATTCCTACCGAGTAAATGAGATTACAGGAATACACTTTTGAGATACAATGAAACGACAATGATTTCGGTTTACCCTTTCGATAATCATCAAATAGAAATTATTGAAGAAAACAAAAAATCCTTCCTATAGTTTTCTACAGAAAATTATATGCACGGTAACACTCAAAATCTCTCACAAAATCACTTAGATCTTGTCACCAATCCATGTTTTTATTTTTTTTCTTCATGTTATATGGCCTCTAGTGTGTTTAAAAACACCAAAACGTCGAAAAAGACATGAAAACTCGGAAGTTTTCACCGATTGATCACGAATTTTCGCTCAAATGGTCACTTAGAAAAAATGAGCTACCCGCCCGTTTATTAGAGCTACCGCTCCGTTTATTCGAACTTTATTCCTCAGAAAAAAACATGCTATCCGCCCACATTTTCGAGCTGCTCTCCCATTTTTACTGAGATCATTTTTCACGTTCAGAACCAAACTTACTCTTCCGACGAACCATAACACTTTAAAATCTATTTACGACACGTCTTTAATTACAAGCATTTCACTCTTCCACCATACTCGTAATACACGTATACATGAATTCCATGAGAGATTAAAACCAATCACCCATTTACTCTAAAATATCAACAATCCTCCACCATTTTAGAGTAAACAACAGATGATTGAAACAATAAAGTTTTTTTCAAATATTTTCCAATTTTGTGCATAAGTGAAAGTGTCGGAATGATTGAATTTCTACGTAGTGAATTTTGTAGGTGTCAAAAACGATTGAACCTATGTAATACTGTTGAGCTATCGAATACCAAGTACAAAACACATAAAATCAATACAAGTTTTTGTTTACCTTTACACTTTTATAAGGCCATGCACTACAAAAAAAACAGACATTTTGCAACGAAATTAGAAACGAAATTCATTTAATTGTAAACTTTGCAACGAAATTGCAACAATTTTTTTTTGCAACGCTTTAGCAACGAAAAATTTCGTTGCAAAGCGTTGCAAATTCGTTGCAAAAAAAGTTATTTTAAATCTCGTTTTGCAACGCAAAAATTTTGTTGCTAACATGTTTGCAAAGAAATTTCAATGCAAAAACTTTTATTTCATAACTGAGATGATTTGACAGCCGCATTAAATACATGATTTTGCAACGAAATTTCATTGCTAATCGGTTTTGCAACGAAATTTCATTGCTAATTTGCAACGCAATTTTGTTGCAAATTGCAACACAATTTCGTTGTAAAACCGATTAGACAACGAAATTATGTTGCAAAATCAAAGATAAAATTTATTTCATGATTGATTTGGTTTTATCGTTTGCAACGAAATTGCGTTGCAAATTAGCAACGAAATTGAATTGCAAGATTTTTCTATACATTCAACATCCAAATACAATCCAACAACAACTTCTCACTCTAAAAATTATCCAGAACTTCTCTCTATCCCCAACTCTTATAAAAATCAAATAAAAATATATTTTATTATTTTTATTAAATATTTATTTTATTAATATTTTTGTTAATTATTTGTTTATAAACTTTAATTTACAACTCTTAAATAAATTTTATAATTGTACAAATATACATATTTTTATTATCTTTATTTCATATTTATATTTATTAATCTTATTTTTTAATTAATGATTTTTTCAATTTTTATTTTAATTCTTAAAAACTCTGAAATTCTAAATTATTTTTTTTATTTTTATATTAATCTTAGCAACGAAATTGCGTTGCTAATTTTGCAACGCAATTAGTAACGAAATTGTCTTTTCTATGAATTGTCATCCTCTATCTTATTTATACTGATCGACTGATATCTGTTGGTTTTTATTGTTTGCTAATGACATTCTAGATTTACCATCTTCTCATCTTCAGTACCATAGTGGTCTCTTAATTTTCTTTTTCCTCCTGATAAACGTTTTCCACGGGTAGAGTGTTGATCTTTGCGAATCCCAGCACCCCTGTTATTTGATTTAAAATGGCTTTTGTTTGCCACCATTTTGAATAACATCATCTTTAGAGATAGGCGTGAACTTGTTTTACTATTTGTTATAAAGGCTGCTTCAAGTATAGTTTTGATTCATTATCTACATGATTCCAGGGAATTGAGAAATTTGAGAAAGCTGCTCAGGCAGTTCAGGGAAAAAGACTGAGTGGACAATATCCTTCACCTGAACTGCTAATTAATTTTTTTTTTACAGCAAGCTGTGGTCCAATTGCAATGGACGCTGATGCTACATCTAAATTGCACAAGAGTGGTGTTTCAGCCACTAACGATTCTTTGAAATACATATGGTTCCAGGTTTCTCCTACCTATTCTCGTCTAACTCATATGTTGCGCTCAAAGTTTTTAATTGCTTCATTGTCGAAAGAAAGGTGTTCTTAAATGTAATTGGGTTTTCTTTTGAATGGGTGATATTCTCATGCCATATCAGTTTCATATGCATATCAAAGTTTCCTTGTTGAACATTTTGTCTGCCTCCTGGTGTAGGATCATGATAGTGATGTGAAAGCTATTTACACTGGTTCAACGTTCATGGAAAGTTCTGGCGTTGGCGATAATGTGGGATTAGTATTGGCATCATCAAGATTCTATGCAGAGTAGAGCGATCAGGTATTCATCCATTATTTGATATACTTCAATCATGTTTTTTCCCTCATTTCTACTTATAAGCAAGCATAGATAGCAGACTGACTGCTTTCACATTCATTGTGATATATTCATGTAAACATGACTGGAAGAAGTATGGTCATTTTGGATTGCACTATGTCTTAGTTTTGGTTGGTCAATTGCGAGAATATATTGTTCTGAAAATTCTTGCATACTGATTTCCGAAATACACTTTGACATTTGTGAATATGCTATATTATGGCTTGCCCAATGTTCTTGACATTATTGCTTTGGTGATAGATTTTCGACACAGGGTTGTTAGTGCAATTATTTGTACATGTGAAATTTGATTGTTTTGGTTGTTAAGTGGATAATGTAGGACCAACAACCTTGAGAGATTTCAGGAGAAAAATCCGGCGAGATACAGTTCGAGAAAATCTGAGGTACATTTGAAGAGTTTCAGATAGAATTAAAGACCTGAAAAGATAGAATAAAAAATCTGAAGAGATAGAGTCAAGAAATTTGAATTTGATCGAAGAGATGAAGATAGCATCAAAGCTAAGAAGATTTGAGGAGATTTGAGATAGAGATAAAATCTTGAAGATAAAGTTAAAGACTTGAAGAGATAGAGATAAAGATGAAATCTTGGAGATAAAGATGAAATTGAAGTGAATCAAGGAGGAGTATATCAAATCAATTCGTGGAGATCTAAGGCGAACTGGAGGAGTCTATATAAAGGAGACATAAGCTGTATATCAGTTCTCATGGAGAGCAAAGCAAATTTTACTAAAGAGTTTTTGTTGATGAGTGATAACTCGCTTTTGAGTGAGTGTGTGTCTGAGGAAGAGACCGATTGGGCAAATCTCTTTTTTCTGGTGAGTGTTTGGACGTGGATCTGAGGGGAAGACCTAATGGAAAAATCTCTATTCCTTTGGCGAGCCTTTATGTTTGGTAAGGTTTTTGATCAGTAGAATTCATTGTGATAGTGGGTGTTGAGTAGTTCTAACAAAAAATGAGTTGTACTTGTCCTTTTCTCAAGAGAATGGAACTAGTTAGTTTTTCTCTTTACTCTTTGAGGGCCCGATTTTTTCAATTGGTATCAGAGCTCGGTTACCGATCGTAGGAACGTGTCCTCTCATATCGGTGTAAGTGTCGAAGAC